CATGGGTATCCTGGGCTCATACAGCCAGTATACGAACCAGGTTCGTCATTCCTCGCATCTTGGCTGTCAGTCACTGGCTCACGAACAGTCTTAGGTTATGCGGTAGTAGCGAGCTTCCAGCTCTGGTCATGCGCCCCTCGTTCATGGTCTTCTCCCTTTCCTCCCACCTCGTTCAAGCGGCAGAGCACTCAGCCCATCATACCATCCATGATGTTACCCTGCATCCCTTACTACAATGCCACAATATCAGATCATGTACGATTATAACTGCAAATAACATTTTGTCTCTCTCGTTTCTTTCGTTTGCGGCAGTACACGAAGGCTCGTCCCCGTCACTAGCAAGAGTCGTCGTTCGTGCAGGTCAGGCTCATCTGCACGTACCCTAGGAGATTGTGCTCTCGGTATCTCGCACGGGTGGTGACGCGACGGCGTGCTCGACAATATCTTGATCGGGCGACGTCTTGACCAAAGGATCCAGGTATTCGGCGACAGCGAGATTGGCCAACGCTTCGGGCGACGCAAGCGACTCCAACGGCGAATAGGGCGGAGCAGATTCGACCAACTTGTGCGGTGGAGGAACGGTTTCGAGCGGGACACGCGGCAGCACGGGCAGCAACGGTTGCGGCTCCAATGGAATCGGTGGCGGCGTGCGTGTACGACGCTGACGGGTGGTCGGGCGAGTCGGGGGCGGTTGAAGTCGGGCGTATGCGGTGGCGCATATTGAGTATACGAGGCGGGAAGATCGTCGGCATATTGCGTGCTAGGTAAGTCGAGCGAGAGCGGGTGTGGCAACTGCAGCTGACGTTCATACGCAGATAGACCTATCTCGTTGTATGTTGCGTAGGAACCCGAGTGCGGATGCAGAATGAAAGCGTCGTCTTGATTATCTAAGCTCGCTTGCCGGATCGAAAATAGTGACACTGAAGAGCGATTGTGATGGCGGCGGACGTGCGGTGAAGGACGTCGGGTCGTCGACGTATGCGGGCAGCGACTCTTGTACCGAGTCGGGTTCAGCGACCTGTGCGAGATACTGACGGACAGTGGCGTCTACAAGCTCGGCAGGGTACGGTCTGCCTGCGTCCAGGGAGATTGATGTGTTAAAATAGTATACGTGATTTGCATAAGTGAAAATGTACATGTTTTTTGCCAACCAGACAACATATCGTCACTGGTATTGTCTGGTGTTGCAACCATGAGCGACGTCGGCATTGGAACGTCTCCTTCGTGCCGACGCGTACGCGAGGACAATACAGGCCCACGCTGCACAGTAGATTCATCGTCGCCTTCTTTTCGTGCTTCCTTGTTGAGCGCCTGTCTGAATTTTGCGCAGACCTCATGCCTGTTGGCATTTGAAGGAGAAGATTCTGGTAGTGATGATGGTGGGGTAAGCCGCCGCCGCCGGAGCCGTTTCCTGGCGGTGTGTCTATTCGTTCCGTATATACGATACTTGCACTATGAGCCGTGGGTGTATGTGTCTCAGTCACCGTCGCGCGCGGATATCCCCCGAGCAAGGTTGGCCCCGCGGGACGCGGGATTTCGAGTGCGGAAGTTTCCTGCGCGGTTTTCCTTCGACCACCACATCGCGCGCACTCTTCGCGCGTCGTTCTCTCGCTACCTTACACATATCTATTTTACTTTACGTCTTCTCCTTTCCTTAATCAACTCTCTCAATGGCTGACGACGCTGGCGCTGCGATGCAAGGCCTCGATTTCGGTAACGGCGGGGGTGGCAACCCAGGTAACGCCGAATCGGCTACTGGCAACAATGGTGCGGGTGCCGGCGACGGCGGCCCCGGCCTTGGTAATAACAGCACCGGCGGCACTGGTGATGGCCAGCCCGGCGGCAACGCTGCTGGCACGGGCACTGGCAACGGTGGCGACTCGAATGGCGGCGGGGACGGCGGCGGCAATGGCCCCGCGCCCGATCCCGAGAGCGAGGATGCTCGCATCGTGCGGCTCACCCACGAGCTCGAAGAGGCCTTTGCGGCCCGCGCAAACAAGGCTGGCGCTCCTTCCGAATTAGGCCCCATGTTCATGTCCAAGGAGGGCGCGACCAATGCTCGCGCGGCCATCGCGAAGCCAACCGCTCCTCCTCCCTGCCCTATTCAGCCCGGCTTCCAAGCGGACCCTCAGGCTACAGGTGAGAATTGCTCCTCATCCCTCCCTCTCTGGTCGCTGCGGTCGACACTCCTTCTGGAGTACACGTCGGCCACAGCCCAGCACATCCCCACCGCTGCCAGTGAAAACTACGGCGGAATTATATTTTCAGCCAATTGTTTCCGCTTCTGGTCGGATCTTGTCTGCGGCCACCGCCGCCGGCAGGTATCCGGCGAGCGACCGTACTCGTCCACGAACACGTCCTTCACACGTCTCGAATCGGTTCAGCGAACTCGTCGCTGATATACACGTTGTTTAGCCATCAGCGAGACGGCACGCAAGACCATTCGTCGTCTGGGGTATTGCCCGAGCGGCGGCCCTCCCCGCGCCGCGTCAGTGTCGGCTATGCCGACCGCGCCCAACCTCTTGGACGCAGGAAACTCCGCGAGCTGACGAGGCTGGACCTCCTAATCAAGTCTCGAGCGCGGGCGCGCTTCAGTGTAAACTGTCACCAGGGCGGCGCATCTCACTGCTCCCCAAGCCTTCTTGCTTCCTCACTCTCAAGCTCTCCTTGTCAGTGGTACGTCGTGCCCGTGCACTCTGTCCTGTCCGAAGGGCTGAACTTGCCTCTAAGGGCCGCGATTGCACGGGTATCTCTAGGTTCATACAGCCTGTATGCGGACCAGGTTCGTCATTCCTAACATCCCGGCTGTCAGACACTGGCTCACGAATAGTCTTAGGTTATGCGTTAGTAGCGAGAGCGAGCGTCCAGCTCTCGCCATGCACCTCTCGTTCATGGTCCCCTCCCTTTCCTCCCCCCTCGTTCGAGCGGCATAGCACTCGGCCCATCATACCATCCTTGATATCACCCTTTGTTCTTTTCTGCACAGACTCGATTCAATAGCATGCAATGCACGTCTACATCCTGTACAACTGCAGTGGTCTGATGTATCACATCTCTTATAACTGCCTCCAGACGTCTAGTTTATGTACTGCCTTGAGCGTTGCTCCAGTGCAGTTGCAAGTTTTCATCGCGCCACTAATCTGCCATGCTGCACGTGCTTGACTTGACGTTTCTTTTGCGCCTATGCTACAAACAATATCTATGTGTCATCGGTACTATCTGCCATCCATAAACTAATGTCCAATTTTTGTCGAGCTCCTGAGCCTTGATTAGTATATGAAAGGCAGGACCGAGTTGGCATTAAGAGATATCCGTTCGTGACTCGCACGAAGGGTCGTAACGATGCATTGTGTGTAGAGCCTATCCTGGTATACCCTTTAGCAGCTTTGTGGCATTGCGCGGGAGTGCTTCAAGGGCGCGTTGCGGGGCCTCATCGACATCTTCGAACGATCTTTTCAAGCAACTTTCGGCACGCTTACGAGCCCAATCGCGGTAGGTGTCTACCCTAGCGAATGAGATTGCATCGTATACATAGCACTTCCTGCTGCCGTGGATCACTAGGATGCATCCAGTGGACCATGGCCTTGTGCGGTAAAGATGTACTTTTGTCCGATGTAGCCCTCCGTGTCCGCCAAAGACGTGGAAGACTACCCACCCGGGTACCTTTGGTGCGAGTGTAAGGATCATACGCGCATGCGCAATCTACTACATGCGTGACAGTACTTTCTATACTATTGGATCGTAGAGCCCAGCATAGGAAGCGGGTTGAGTTCCCTTTTCAAGGTTTTTCCTCGCCTATCGTACACGAACACCTCATTGGGCCCGGGATGCCAATACAGCCTTGTGTCCTCGAACGATGTGTTGTTATCATCTAGCACCCTCGCTAGGTCTCGAAGTAGACTCATATCCTCTGCTAAGTTCAAGTCAGCTGCGGCAACTTCCACGGAAGCCAGAAATGCGAATGTAGTCGGGCGCGTCAAGCTGGGTAGAATGGCGATAAGTGCCCGCACGTCGCTCGATCTTTGTAGAACAAGTGCGACTGTGCTTTGTGCAAGTTCGGAAAGAAGCTCGCGGTCGATCGTGGCAAGGGTGCCTTTAAAGCGTAGGAGGTGAAAACGGTATCGCGCGCCGGTCGCTCGGACAAGCGAGGAGAACCGGCCCGCGGCGTGCTCCGTGTGTTTCGCGTCTTCAGGCAGGCATATGTCCAGGGACAGAGGCTCAACCTCGTCAATATGAAAAGCCGCTCGCGAAGTTCCTTCCCTAGCAGGATTCCGATATCGAATAGCGAGACCCCGGTTGTCGGCGTGGAAAGATATCGAGAGGAGAATCCGAGAAAAGCTGGAAGCGGCCATATGAAGCCTCTCAAGAAAGACTTTGCTGAGCAGGCTAGTACCTTCGAGAAAATGAATGGGGTACATGTCTATGCGTGGGACATTGGCCAGAGAAGTCCTGTGTGCCGCTTGCTCTTGGACGGCCCGGGAGGCTATGAACGCATTCATGCGGGGGGACAGGCGCAGCGCGGCATAAATTGAGATGTCCTCGCGCCAGAAGCTCCGGAGGATGATATGTCGAAGATGGTCAAGGGAGATACCGGGCGGTGTGTCCATGACTCCGCCAGGGTATACCATGCCAGTGTGTCGGACATGGTTGTACGAGTACTCAAAGATCTCGAGGAGAGGTACGGCACGGAAGAACGCGATCATCTCGCCCACGTTCGTCCAGAGCGCACTATTGCAGAGTCTGACCTCACGCAAGCTAGTTGAAGATAACACTGTCGGGCGCATGGACGAGCAACCCGACAGACGCGCGACAGTGAGCGTTCTTGTCAGGTTTTGCGAGAAGTAGTCGATGGAAAAGGTGCCGCCCATCCCGGACTTGTACTCAATTTCAAGTACGCGTATCGGCCACGCTTTGATATTGCCAAGCATCCTATATAGCTCTAGGAGGTGGTCGTCGCATGCAAGCGCCTCGACGAGGTCAAGCGAGGGTCCGTCTGCGATGTTCAATCGGATGTTCATGGCATAGGCCCGCTTGGTAGCTGCAATAGCCCATCGCACCGCCTCACGATATACACCGGAACCTTCATTGCTAGCAATGTATCGGGAGTCAATAACGAGATTGGCAGGATGCGCGCGACAGCGAAAAAGGCATAGTTCTGTGGCCGCGCGCGAGGGTCGAATAACGTCTGACCAGAGTTCTTGGCATTGGAGAGCTACCTCCCTCCATCGGTGGCAGACGCGCGATACGTTTGTGCATTTTGGCAAAGTAGCGTAGTTGCCATCCTGGTCATCTAGGGCATGTAGACACAAATATATCTCTTCCAGTGTCTCGGCGGGCAGATAGCTCGTGCAATCGGCCAACGTTGAGGAGGTCATTGCCGCGAGTGAGCGTTGTAGTGGTTTTCCAACAGGGTTTGTACAGGCGAATGCTGATGAGTCAGGTACTTCAGATAGTCATCTGAGGTTGAGGCTACAGAGTGCAGCAAGGCAAAATGTGGAGACAAAGTGCGTCAAGCGCCTTCTCGGACGGCCGTAACCTTAGTCCGGTTAGTCTCCTACTTAGGGCAGCCGGTCTGACATGACCGCTGTTGGTTCGAACTTTATCTACAGCGATCGTCTGATGGTCATTCTGATGGTCGTGCTGGCCTCCTTTCTCAGTCTTCATCGATTAATACTTGATGGTCAGAGGACGCTGGTCGCGCGGCGCAGGGTGAACGTCGACTTGGAGAACGAGAAAGTCAAGGCTCGGCAATGGCCGAACGCGAGTCTCAG